GTAAATTGTCACGTCCACATAAACACCGCACCTAGGATCTTTTTTAAAGAAAGGCAGGGCATACATACACCCATGTACAAATTTACATATTATTTGTTTTTGTCTTTTGTTTTGTCTCCTTTTTAACATTCTAAGTAACTTAATTTTCATTTACTTTAAAGAATAAATCCATGTCTTACATTAATAAAAGTGATGTAAACAACAAATCGTTGCATCTCCTAGCTTATTTCACCTTGGTTCAAACAACTCAGAGACTTGGAAGTTATAAGGTTTTCTAAATATTGGAAAATCAATATAATTATTTTATAAGCTATTGGGGGACATTTTCAAATGTGCTTCAAACTTCAGCATGCAGAATTATGAACTGTATTTTAAAACAAAAATTTTACTTCTTACATGTCTAGAACATAATTAAATGAGACATCATCACTGCCAAAAGCTTAATGCTCCATCTTCTGATTATTTTGAAATAAGGAAATCCTATGAAAATACTGAAAATGCATTTGGCTGGATTATAGAGCCTGGCACCTAGCATTAGAGTAGAATCAGAAGGGAGCAGAGATCAAATGAGAGTAGCTCTAGAGTTACTAGGTAGTAGCCTTGATTTTCAAGAAGGTTACAAAATTCATTTTCATCCTAAGTTTCTGTAAATGTTTTTCTAGAACCTTATTTTTTAAAAAGATTTTATTTATTTATTTATTTATTTATTTATTTATTTATTTGAAAGATCAAAAGAGTGCATGTGGGAGAGAAGGGCAGAGGGTGGGGGAGAAGCAGACTCTCCGCTGAGCACGGAGCCCCACGTGGGGCTTGATCCCAGGAACCCGGGATCAGGACCTGAGCCAAAGGCAGATGCTTAACTGACTAGTCACCTGGGTGCCCCTGTTTTCCTAGAACTTTAAAAGAAAACAATTTTTTTTTTGGTCTAAACCTTCATATATTTGATATCTATCCAGAGATAAATTATTTTTGGAAGTTTTAGCAAATTTGTTCTCCCACTCCCGAATTAGTCAGTGAAACTAAAATAAATTTTTCTGCCTTCAGAAACAAATGTGTTTTTAAATGTCAGCACAAGAACTTTAGGAGAATACAAACCAATAATACGGGATAACAAGTCTGAAATTTCATAGGTTTTGAGGACCTCTAATACACTTTTTTCATCCAAATTTGCAGTGTTTGGTTACAATTGGATTCTATTTGTGGGACCTGGTGCTTTCAAAGGCCCAAATATTTATGGAACAAATAAATGGAAACTTCAGAATATTTCCGATTGCTCACAATATCCTTAAATGTCTTTCTAGAAAAAGATTTCTAGAAGTATATAAGCCAAAAATAATTTGATACACTAAAATAACTGTTGACTTACTTTTCTGTGTGTTCATTGAAAGGGAAATTGTCAGCAGCATCTCTCTGGGTATCTAAGAGAGACTTAGCTACAAAGCATTACCCAAAGCCAGGGTTTGGAATAAGGGCATTCCTGACAGGCAGAGGGAAACTTAAGAGAATTGTAGAAAAGTCTAGCGAGGATTGACTCTATCTAAAATTTGATTAATAAGCCAGGTTAAAATCAGTATTTGTAGCTAATGAGATCCTACTTCAAAATCAATAATAAATATTAATTAAGAGCCTATTGTTTACATGATACTATGGAGGATGTAAAACAGAAGTTGTATTAGTAACATTATAAAGTGAATTAAGGATACATTTTATATCGATGTTTAAAAAATGAGTTATTATTAATACTTGAATATCTGTGATGACACTAAGCACTGTGCTCAAAATAATGTTGATGGTGACAACTTATAGGAAAGATGGAGCTTCAGACCCAAATCTAAAGGTGAACTGTTTGGCAGTAAAGCAGTATTCTTATTCCTCAAGGTAAACAAATGCAAGAATTTTCACTAAAAATGTTTCAATCATGGAACAATGGAAATCTCACATACCTTTATAAATATAATTTCTTTATAGGGTTTTGCTTGTTTAAATCGCTTTAATCAACACTGGAACATTATATGGACATAAGATTTTAATAATCTTTCCTGATGATGATGAAGTTTCAATTCCTCATACATATCATCTGTGCCTGAGTTCTATAAAAATTCCTTTCAGAATTTTTGGAGAGAGTTCCAAAGAACTGTATTCCTGCACCTAACCCATCATTTCTGTTTATAGTCCCTGACTATGAATATCGATGACTTTTAGTAGCAAGTACATATTTCTCTTTGCTTCTAATTTTTGACCTGGACATAGTAAATATAACTATGCTTACATGGCTAGGCCTAAAGAAAACGCTGAGGTAAAAATAAATCTTCTTCTTCCTTCTAAATATTCACCCTTGCCTTTCCACAGAGCATCCTTTTCTCCCACTCTTTCTAATCCCTGGAAATCACAGCCTCCTACTGAAGCACAGCTCCTAGCCTGACAACCTCACTCCTCCACCAACCTGCTCCTACAAAATCTTGCAAAATTCAGAATTCTATTTCCTAACACCATTGCTCCCTTCTGGTTTACACAGGGTAATCACAGATCATTACTACCCTAAAGACTCTTAGCCTACCAAGTGCACCATCATCTTTTTTCCCCCCAAGTATTTTTATTTTGAAAACTTTCAACCTCCAGAAAAAAAAGACTTACTGAACTATTTGAATACTGTAACATTTTAATGTATTACTAAAACAGTGACTATATATGCTAATAATGCTTCCATAAACCTGACTTAGAAAAAAAAGCAACTAACATTTTGAGTGCTTAGAGACAACACTGCCAAGAGCATTACATACATTATTTCATTTAATAAAAAAATTCTCAAAAATTGGATCTAGTAACATTTCTATTTTTACAGGTGAGGAAACTGACTCCTAGAGAATTTAGCTAACATGCCCAAGATCATACCCATAGTAAGATGCAGCATTCAAACCTTCATGACTAATTCCAGAGCCTTGGTCTTACTTAACCAGCATAATGTGCTTATGAGAGTACACCTCCTGACATAATAACTAAATTCAATGCATGATCCTTGATTGAATTTTGGATGATGAAGAAAAAACAACTGAAAAAGATATTTTGAGGAGCACCTGGGTGGCTCGTGGTTGGTTGAGCTTCCCATTCTTGGTTTCAGGGGAAGATGTGATCTTGGCCTCCTAAGATTGAGCCACAGGAAGGGAGGCGAAGGGAATCTCCCTGAGATTCTCTCTCTCTCTCTCTCTCCCTTTCTTTCTGCCCCTCCTCTTACTTGTACTCATGCATTCTCTAAAATAAATAAGTCTTTACAAAAGATTGAAAAGTTAGGGATGCCTGGGTGACTCAGCAGTTGAGCATCTGCTTCCGGCTCAGGGCATGATCCCAGGGTGCTGGGACCTAGTCCTGCATCAGGCTCCCCACAAGGAGCCTGCTTCTCCCTCTGCCTGCGTCTATGACTCTATCATGAATAAATAATAAAAACTTTAACAAAAAGATTAAAAAATTAAAGTGGTATTTTGGGGAAATTTTGAAAAATTTTTGCCCTGGATTGGTTATTAGCAAACACAGAACTATTGGCTTTCTTAGTTGTGATAAATAGAAAAATGTCCTTATTTTCAGTCAATGAAGTATTTGAAATGAAGTTTCATCACGCCCTGTACTTACTTTCAAATGGCTCACTTAAAAAAAAGTGTGTGAACACTTGCGTGCACGTGCAGATGCACAGACAGCAACTGCAGCATAATAGGAACAACTGATGAATCCATGTGGGAGACACATGGATGTTCATTGTACTAGTCTTTCATCTCCTTAGGTTTAAAAATTCTCAAAACAAAACACGAAAGGAAAATGAATGCCAAAAGAAGGCTCTCGAAAAATAATTAGGGACCCCTGGGGGGCTCAGCAGTTGAGCATCCGCCTTAGGCCCAGGGCGTGATCCCAGGGCTCACGGGATGGAGCCTGCTTCTCCTTCTGCCTGTGTCTCCGCCTCTCTCTGTCTCTCATAAATAAATAAAATTAAAAAAAAAAATTCATAGACTCTCAGGAAATCTTATAATTTCCTGAGATTTTAAAGATCAGGTGTAGTCTCATATCATCTTTCCGTTGGCTGATATTTGAATAATTTTATCTCACCAGTGGCATAAACAGGATGACTCCATACACAATGCACAGATAAGCTCTAGAAAGTGTGCAAGTGTGTGTAGCCTCCCTAGTGGGGTTACATCGGGGAAAAGTTGTTTTATTTACTTATTCTGGGTTTTTTTTGTTTTTGCTTTTTTTTAAAGATTTATTTATTCCTAAGAGACAGAGAGGGGAGGAGGCCCCGGGCTGAGGGCAGCGCTAACGCACTGAGCCACTCAGCTGCTCCGCTTTACTTATTCCTTTAAGAAAGAAACAAAAGCCCTAAAACCTCGGAACGGCCTCGTTTCGCGTCGGTGCGATCCCGTGTGAGCTGCGAGGGCGGCGGCGGGATTCCGCAGCGGGGTCTCCCTTGGCGGGGGGCCGCGCCCGCGGGCAGGAACTAAGGAAGGCGGAAGGAGTCAATGTTTTAAGGAGAAGCAAGTGGCGGCAAGAAGAGTTAACTTCTGGGATTTGGGGCGCGACCCTCCCCGCGCGAGCCTCGGGCCCGGAGCGGGGCGGGGACTGCGGGGGCCCCGGGAGCCTGAGGTCGGCGCGGCCGCGGCCCCCGCGGGGGTTTCAAGGCGGGACACGCCCCCCGCATCTCGGCCAATCGGGGGCTCGGGGCGGGGCGGGGGCGGGGCTCGGGACCGGGAGAGGGGCGGGGCTGAGGCTCGGGGCTGGACTGGGGGCGGGGCTGGGGGCTCGGGGCGGGGCTCGGGGCTGGGGGCGGGGCTGGAGGCGGGGCTGGGGGGCTCGGGGCTGGACTGGGGGTGGGACCGGAAGCTGGGCTGGGGGGCTGGGGACTCGGGGCTGGACTGGGGGCTGGACTGGGGGCGGGGCTGGACTGGGGGCGGGGCTGGGGGCGGGGCCCGGGCCCGGGGCGGGGCCCGGGGCCGGAGCAGGCGGGGCGTGTCCGCCGTGAGGCGCGGAGGCCCCGGAGGCGGCGCTGTGCCCGGCGGAGGGCGCGCGCGCGGGTGGAGAGGCCAGGCTGGGCCCGGCCTGGGCCGCGGGCTTCGGGGATGGCTACGCGGGGCAGGATGGAGGACGTGAGTGCGCGGCAGCGGAGGGAGGCGGGCCCCGGGACCCCTTTCTTCCCCTGCTGGGTGCGCGGGGCGGGGACCGCGGCCGCAGCCGGAGGCGGCGCTTCCCTCGCAGGGCAGGCCCGGGCGCGGGGTCCTGCGAAGGTCGCTCGGGAGGCGGTGGGTGCGCGGGGCGCCCGGCTCCCGGGCGGAGGCCGGTGGGTGCGCGGGGCGGGGGTGCGCGGACGCGGGTCCCCGGGGCGCCCAGCTGGGTGCGGCGCGCCTTCGGCCCCGGAACTGGGAGCCCCGCGCTGCGGGCCGGGCCCTCGGCCCTCCGGGCGCTGCGGGGGGTCCTGCGGTCGCTGCGGGGGGTCCTGCGGGGCCTCTCCCGCGCGCGTCCCGGCCTGCGGCCCCCACCCCCACCCCCCCCGCCCAGAAACCCGCACTGGAGACAACAGGGCGGTGGTGATTTGGACGCCAACGTGATAGGCGTGAACCGAGTTTTAAGTCGCCCTACCTGGTGGGTCCAAGCCAGACTGCTGACAGACAGAGGCCCGGTGCGCAGTCTGCATGGTACGGAGCGAAATCTTGGCCCAAGTGTATTAAAACATTTTTAGAGGAAACACGGCATTGTACCCAGCATTGACTGGTTGCCTCATTGACAGGTAAGGGAATAAAACTGTTACCCTTGAGAAACGCAAAGTTGACATTACCTTAAGGCACTGATTTGGGTTAATACATTAATAGGGATATTAGTGTGGTCCTGTCACTGATGTAGGGGTGTCAGGCAGGACACCTAACAGTTGCAGCCCTATAAGAGCTTAGACTCTCATGTAAGTAGCGACCACAGTTCAAGCATCTTAACCAGGGGCGCCTGGGTGGCCCAGTGGGTTTGGCTCCTGCCTTAGCTCAGGTCATGATCCCAGGGTCTTGGGGGTCAAGACCCCCATGGGGCTCCCTGCTCAGCGGGGGGTCTTCCTTTGCCCCTGCTCCTACTCTCCCCTTGCAGGGACACGTGCTCTCTCTCTTAAATAGATAAATCCTTTTTAAAAAGTCTCTTAACTAGGAATCAATTTTTTGATTTATTTATTTATTTTTCTATTTTTAAAAGATTTTATTTAAACTTTCATGAGAGACACAGAGAGAGAGAAAGGCAGAGACCCAGGCAGAGGGAGAAGCAGGCTCCATGCAGGGATCCCAACGTGGGACTCCATCCCGGGTCTCCAGGATCACGCCCTGGGCTTAAAGGTGGCACTAAACTGCTGAGCCACCCCCGGGCTGCCCCAAACAATTTTTTTTTAATTTTTTATTTATTTATGATAGTCACACACACACACAGAGAGAGAGCCCCAAACAATTTTTAATGATAAAATAAAACTGAATTTTTCTTTTCAGTTGAGAAAATGGAAAACTAACTGTAAGACATGAAAGTACATTTGACATTCATCTACATTTAAAGAAAAAAAATCATTGTTTCTGAATTTTTAAGGGTGAGATTCATAAGCTGACAATGTATGGGAGAAAATCTGAGGAAAATGAGAGACCCTTAGAAAAATGTGTGCAGTAGATGGTTCTTGGTTGATGCTAAGTTACCCCAGGTCCTTGGATCTGTAGCTTTTAGCTTTAGGACGAATACAATCCTAGAAATCTGTTTCACCAAACGGTTACACACCTAAATCACTTCAGATTCGAGCAGGTTGCCTGTTTTGGGAACTTTGTGGATATGATTCCTACCATTCAGTAAAAAGCTAAAACTATGGTGTGTGCGGTAGGCCTAGACACTTAAAAGAGTTAACAGAGGCAAAGGCTTTTCAGTTAAGGTTCATTGTATGTTTGCAAGCTGTGAAACCAACTCTGGCCACTTTAAAGAAGAAAGGAATTTCTTTGAGATGATCCAGGGGGGGATGAACACCGAGGCCTCTGAAAGTGCTGACTCCAAACAAGGGTGGCTACGGGATCTAAGACTCCTTCAGAGTCTGCCGTGGAATGAACCTGCCCCACTGAACAGTGCCGACTCCAAACAAGGGTGGCTGCAGGATCTAAAACTCCTTCAGAGTCTGCCGTGGAATGAACCTGCCCCACCGTGCTCTCCCTTCGATACGTTGCTCACAGAAACAATGGATGGCCCAGCGCTCTAAGGTTCCACCAGGAGCCAGAGGCTCCACCTGGGCCAAGGAGAAGTGAAAAGTACTGAAGGATGTTCCCACTGAGACTTAATGCAGAGGTAGACAGTGGATCCCCCAAGGAAATCGAGTTATGGTCACAAAAGAAGAGGAAAGAGATCCATGTGGGCAAAACAGATATTTTGTACAGCTCAAGATGTAGTTATTAATAGTGTAAGTGAAGACATTATTTGGTTTCAGGAATTGTCTTCGCTTTACCTTTCACATGGAGATGGTGGGTTGCCGTCTGAGAGTGATGAGTTGTTTTTGGTCAGGTTACAACATTTCCTGTAGAATCCACCGAGTATTGGGTATAGCCACCAAATACAGGGTGTTTACTGAACATCTAATAAGTGACATAGAGAAGAAACTATATCATAGTCTCCAACTCCTCGGTGTAGGCAGGTGAGACAAAAGCTACATACGTTAAAAAGGATGTAATACAAGACAGCGTAAGAAACACTCCAAATTATTATTATGAGCAGTACATTTTATAACAGTTTTATAGCGGAAAGGAAACATTTGGCAGGACAGGTTGGTTTTGGTTTTGTTTTGGAGGGAGAGGAGAATCTTAAGCAGGCCCAGCACCCACATGGAGCCCAGTGTGGGGTTTGTTCTCGACCTTGAGATCATGACCTGAGTGGAAACCAAGAGTCAGACGCTTAACCAGCTGAGTCACTGAGGCGCCCCAGCAGGACATGTTTTATGGAGAAGTCTTGAAAGATGAGCTGGATTCTGAAAAAATAAGAGACGATATTTGTGGGGTGCTCCAGAAAGCTCATTTATGCTAGGGGAGGAGGTGCGTGAAAGGGAGGTCAGTGGGAGATACGTGGACGCTAGTCTAACCGTTAGTTTCCAGGCTAGCTGTGTTTAAGTTCTCAGGCCCCAAGGGTTCGAGAAGTCGGACCGCCTCTTGTTCGCCGCACACACGTATTGAGCACCTACTGTGGTAGGTGCTAAAGGTACGGAGAATATGCAATACAGAGCCTCTGCCCTCGTGAAACGCACTGTTCCAACAACTTTAATGCCTTGTAGTTGGTGGTGTAAGTTGTGTAAGCGTGTGCAAGCATGCAGCAGGGACTTCTGTGCCTAGGCGCCACACGGTAACGGGGATTGGATTCATCCTTCTGCCTGAAATGACCAAAAAAACTGTATGTGGTATATGAAACCACACTTTTTGAGATGGTGAGCGTCAGGCAGCGAGGGACGGTGCTGTCCGAGAGGAGGGCCCCAGCTGGCCGCCGTGGGAGAGTGCAGGCCGGGCAGGGCGCGGGCGCCCGGCAGGGGTTGGCTGGCTCTCTGAGCTGTGGAGATGGGGCCGACAGTCTGGGGACACTGAGGCAGCCAGAGTTCACGTGGTGGTGGGAGAGAGGTGCACAGGGGGATACTGAAATGCGTAGAGTCCCCCTCAGGGGGCCCGCAGAGGGCTGCTTGGTACGTGCCCGTGAGGATGCCCCCCGTGGCCTGGAAAAGAGCCGCCTGGGATGACTGGAGAGAGTGGCGCCTGGTGCCCACCCAGGGCCGGCGTCAGGCGAGGCCTCGGTCAGACCGAAAGCCCGAGCGCTCGGGGCATCGGGGGCTCACGCGGGGCTCCCTCGCGGGCAGAGCCCTGGCAAAGGCCTCGCCTCATCACAAATCTTAAAAGCAAGACCGAGAACGTCAGTGTTTCCCAGTCACTGAGCTGAGGAGGAAAAGGTTCCAGAGGAGGAAAAGCTCAGGATCACTGCGAGGAACACACGCGGCCCGCCCCCAGCCCAGTCGGGAAGTCCCGCGTGCCCCTCGCGCCCTGGGCCGCAGGCAGCGCCTACCCGCTGAGCCACCCAGGGATCCCCAGCGTCGACTCTATTTCAGTACAGTTGGAAGAGGTCGTCAAGCGTTGCAGAGGGCCGGGGAGTCTGACCTGGAGGTCCGTTGAAACTGATTGGGAAAGAACGTGCTAGAAGCAGCAAGCAGGAGCGTTAACACGCTCTTAGGACCCTTCCACACGTTCAGAAGGGTAAAGACCCGTGCGGCAGACCCGAGGGGGGCCCAGTGCACCCTGCGGACGGGAAAGGCACCTGCTGGACGAAACGGGCAGTAGGAAGCGCGTGGAAGCGGGGAGAAGCGGGGGGTTTTGCTAAGACGGACTGACGGGGGCCAAGGAAGCAGGCCCGGCCCTCGGGGGCCTGTGGGGCCTGGGAACCGAGGGGGGGAGATGGGGGGAGATGAGGGGGTGGGGGTGGGAGGGGGTCCCGGCAGGAGCTGGGAAGGACTTGTGAGAGCCAGACTGGCGGTCCCACCCGGGTCTGAGGGTGACCGGGAGGGACTCCGTTTTGTGGGGGAGAGAGACGTGAATGTTGGTTTTAGGAGGCGTGAGCGCAGCTAGAGCTGGCTCGGGTCTGGAGGCCGGGGGCAAGGCCGGGGGGATGCGGGGCGGGGCGGGGGGCTGTGCAGCCTGCAGAGGCCTTACCGCCGGGCACACCGTCTCCTGTCCTCTCCCCGCCAAAGTGGGGGTGCAGGCGCCCTTAGAGCTCTGTTTTCTGAGGGGGGAGACCCGCAGAGAGAGGTGAAGGGACCGGGCTCAGCGCGAGGAGAGGAGAAGCGGTAGGGCCCGGCGTTAGAGCCCTGGGAGCAGTTAGAGCCCCGGGAGCGTGCCTTAAGCATGCACTTCCCGCCGGCCCTGGTCCCCCCCGGGCTCCCTGAGAACCCCTCCTGCAGAGCACCCCCACCACCGCTGCGACCCTAACTGGGTCAGGAACGCGGCTCAGATGGGTTTGAAACAGTCTCTCCTCAGATGCTCCCTGGGTGCCAGCCCCCCTCGCCGTTGGGGGGTGACGAGGACAGGCCGGGGCTGTGGGTCTGGTGGCGTTGGCCGGGGCGGCAGGTGGGCGGGCAGGCAGCCGGCCAGCGTGGGGGGAGTGAGCGCAAAGTGCGGGAGGACCCGAGCTGCGGCCACCCAGGAGCTCCCCGCCACCCGGGGCGCGGGGAGGAGGCCCAGACGTCAGCGCGGGAGTCCGGTGCACGCTGGGCGCCTGCTGGCTGAGCAGGAGCTGGAGGCGGAGGCCTCTTGAAAAGAGCACAAATAATCAGAATCGTGCCGCAGGTTAGGGCCGACCGAGCAGGAAGCTGTGTAGCCACGGAATGAAAAATAAATTGCAGCGTTAGATGCCTGAGTTTGGAAATTGAGACGCCCGCCTCAGCCCTGAGTTAGGATCCGGATTATTATTTTTTTATTTTATTTATTTGAGAGAGAGGATGAGTGAGAGAGAGAGAGAGAGAGAGCGCGAGGGAGCGCATGAGCCAGGGGAGGGGCAGAGGCAGAGGAGGGAGCAGACTCTCCACTAGCAGGGAGCCCCATGCAGGGAGCCCGATGCGGGACTCGATCTCAGGACCCCAGGGTCATGACCTGAGCCCAAGGCAGCCATTTAACGAACTGGGCCACCCAGGTGCCCCAGGCTCCAGATGATTATTTTCATCTTTGAACTGTGGTGTCCAGAAGCCAACCACAGAACGTGTGTCTCATTCTACCCTTTCCAAGGAGCCGTATCCTCTGTTTGCAGATGCTCTTCTCAGGCTTCCCTTCTTCCGATGAAATCTTTATTTCCACCTTATTTCAGCCCAGTTGGCTCACGTACATTATTTCATCCTGTATACCTTTATCCGTAGCCTCCCCAATGAAAATGTAATCTTTTGGACAAGTATTCGGTTTTATATTATTTTTTTCATCTTATGGTACCTTATATATAATAGTTTTCAGCAAGGCTCTGAGATTAAGAGATTGTTATGTGCACCAGAGACCTATTAGTACTATTCTTGCCTGGACATTACCTTTAAATAAGACAAACTGAATTTTTGGGTTGCAGCTCAACCCATCAGCTACCTCAGTGACTTTGCAGCTAGTTGTTTTCATTGAGAATCGGCTATCTCTAAACTGAAGTCTCCCAAGGATCTATGAGGGCGAACTGTTTGCTTCTCTAAGGTATTTCTCTAGGGCGCCCGGGTGGCTCAGTCGGTGAGGCATCTGCCTTCGGCTCAGGTCATGATCCCGGGGTCCTGGGATTAGCCCCATGTTGGGCTCCCTCCTCCAGGAGGAACCTGCTTCTCCCAACCCCTCTGCCTGCCACTCCGCCTGCTTATGTGACTCTCTTTCTCTCTCTCTTTCTCCGTTAAATAACTAAATAAAATCTTTTCTAAAACTAAAATAAATAAAATATTTCTATCATAACTGAAAGTCCAATAAAGCCTCCACCAACTTTCCAAAAGTTTGTGGAACATAAAGATGTAGTTTAAGAATTGCAACCACAGGTAATTTTTTCATCAATAATGTAAGTACTGTTAGATAAATCAACATCTAAGTTTTCAGGACTTAAAGAAAAATGGTTTGTTTGATCTCGTGATGTATTAGCTCATTTGAAGATATTGAAGTAAGATTTCCTCTACCCATTTGAATACTTGTTTTCACCAATTTACATTTAGTAGTTATCTACAAGTTTATATTTTTTAATTGGGCTTTAAATAGGGAGCATATTTTTCTTGCCTCTAACTTGTGTAATGGTTTTTAAAGCTTTATAGTTTAGTAGATTTGTCTTGGAAACGTAATCTAGAAAGTGGTGATTATATTTTGTTTCTGTTTTTCTGTACCGCAGGGTTCCTTGGATCTCACCCAGAGTATTGAAGATGACCCCCTTCTGGACACCCACCATCTCCCACATCTTTCATTACATGCTCATTTTAGACCCAGATTCCATCCTCTTCCTACGGTCATCATAGCAAATCTTCTCTTATTAGTACATGTAAGTTGACTGGGATGAAGTAATCCATACAGAGGTGATGTTCTTAAATATATATATATATATATATACACGCTCTTCAGAGGGCAGCTTGGCTACATCTGCAACATTTAAAATGTGCATCCTTTTTTACTTATCTTTCTACTTCAAAGGATTTATAGATATATTTGCATATGTGTAAGAATATTTTAATCATGTTGTCTGTAATATCAAGATATTGCAACTATCACCATTCAGAGGACACTTTGTATGACCCATCCATATGAAGGAGTGCTCTGCAACATTTGAAAAAGAAACAGGGTGGACGTGTATATATTAATTAGACTAGCCTTCACACTTACATTGTTGAGTGTCTACAAACACAGATTTATGGCAGTGTGCACAGAGCGTTCCTATTTGCACGTTTTAAAAGATAATTGAGAGGGTTGGTGTGCACGTATATTCCCATATATACACAGAAAATTTCTAGAACCATTCGCAAGATCTTTTTTTTAAAACTTATTTTTATTTATTTATGATAGACAGAGAGAGAGAGAGAGGCAGAGACACAGGCAGAGGAGAGGGAGAAGCAGGCTCCATGCCAGGAGCCTGACGTGGGACTCGATCCCGGGACTCCAGGATCGTGCCCTGGGCCAAAGGCAGGCGCGAAACCACTGAGCCACCCAGGGATCCCCCGCAAGATCCTTTTAACACTAGTTGCTACTGAGGTGGAGGACTGAGGGCCTTGTAGAAGGCATCTGATATATTTTAGTATTTGCATTTTGTACTATTTGAAGGTTTTTTTTTTTTTAACCATATGCATATATTACTTTTTCAGTTATTAAAAGATGTAGATAAATCTATGTTGAAACAGAAATTTATCAATTTATCTACACTTAGGAAATAATGTTAAGCAGGGATATCAGGTTGCAGCAGAACAATAAGCAGTGTTGCCCCATATTTTAAGCAATGATAAAATTACAAATGTCTGGGGTTTTTGTTTTTGTTTTTTTCCTTGGGAAGAGAGCATGAATGGTGGGGAGGCAGGCAGAGAGAGAGAGGGAAAGAGAGACTCCTAAGCAGACTCCACGCTCAGCATGTAGCCCAAAACGGGGCTTGACCCCACAACCCTGAGACCATGACCTGAGCTGAAATCAAGAGTCGGATGCCCAACGGAGTAAGCCACCCTGGTGCCCCAAATATCTGGGGATTTTTAAAAACACATGTATTGCAACTACTAGGTAACTAGTAGGTAATCACTAGACACAAAAAGAAACCCCTAGAGAGAAAAACAAACAAAAAACCCTGTATGTGTAAATGGTCTTGTAGGCTTATTGATGGCTCTGCATCTAGTCTGTTAATTATCTCCATTTTGGTTGTTGAGATCTGAAGCACTAGATGATGTGTTCTTTGCTACAATGTGAAAAGTGAAGAGGGCAAATTCTTAGCAATCCCAAGTGTTTATGAGGAGAATGAATATGGTTCATTGACTTGTTCAGATGCTGTTCCAGTGACACACACTGCGTAGACTTGTACTCAGAACTGAATACCCTGAGGAGAGAGGTGCATCCTTCTACCCTGTGCAGATCTATTAAGTGTGGTGTGCTTCTGCTATGGCTTCCTGATCCCCAGATTAGCAACTGAAGCACTTCCGTCCTGGTGCCACCACGTGCAGATGTGGCCTCCTGGTCCCTGGATTGTGGCCTGTTTTTCTTCTTCCTTTTTTTTTTTATAACATACTCTTTAATTTGTGCAACACACTCTTTGTATATATATTCCCCGAACATACACACACACAAGCATACACACATAACATTTTGAAAAACCTTTTTATATTAAACTGCTTGTCTATGATACTATGGGATTAATTGCCCTAATTTTAGGACTAAGAAAGTCTTGTGTTAAAAAAAAAGAACAAGAAAAATACCAGCATTACCCAGACACCAAAAGCAGATAAAGACACCACCAAAAAAGAGAGCTACAGGCCAATACCTCTGATGAACGTAGATGCAAAAATCCTCAAAAAAATACTAGCAAACCAAATCCAACAATACATTATATCATTCACCACAATTGAGGGATTTATTCCTGGGTTGCAAGGATGGTCCAATATTTGCAAATCATGATACATCACATTAATTTTTTTAAAAGGATGAGAACCACATAATCATTTCAATAGATACAGAAAAAAACATTTGACAAAGTACAACATCCATTCATGATAAAAATCCTCAACAAAATCGGTTTAGAAGGAACATACCTCAACATAGTAGAGTCCATCTATGAAAAACCCACAGCTAACATCCTAAATGGGAAAAAAACTAAGCTTCTTTATAGTCAAAAACGAGACAGGGATGTCCACTCTCACCACTTCTATTTAATGTAATACTAGCTAATACTAATGAAGTCTTAGCCTCAGCAGTCAGACAACAAAAAGAAATAAAAGGCATCCAGATTGGCAAGGAAGAAGTCAAACTTTTATTATTTGCACACGACATGATACTATATATAGAAAACCTGAAAGACTCCACCAGAAAACTGCTAAAAGTGATAAACAAATTCAGTTGTCACAGGATACAAAATCAATGTGCAGAAATCTGTTGCATTTCTATACACCAATAGTGGAGCAGCAGAAAGAGAAATCAAGGAATCTATCCCCTTTACAATTGCACCACAAACCATAAGATACCCAGGAATAAACGTAACCAAAGAGATGAAAAACTTATACTCTGAAAACTATAAAACACTGATGAGAAATTGAAAATGACATAGAGAAATGGAGAGACATTCCATGCTCATGGATTGGAAGAACAAATATTGTTAAAATGTCTGTACTACCCCCAAACAATCTACATATTTAATGCAATCCCTATCAGAACACCAACAGCATTTTTCACAGAGCTAGAACAAACAATCCTAAAATTTGTATGGAGCCACAAAAGACCCCCAAAGAGCCAGAGCAGCCTTGAAAAGGAAAAACAAATTGGAGGCATCACAACTCCAGACTTCAAGTTCTATTACAAAGCTGTAGTGACCAAAACAGTATGGTACTGGCACAAAAATAGACACATAGATCAGTGGAACAGAGTAGAGAGCCAAGAAATGAATTCGATGATCAATTAATCTTTGACAAAACAGGAAAGAATATTCAATGGGGAAAAGACAGTCTCTTCAACACATGATGTTGGGAAAACTGGTCAGCTCTGCGCAAAAGAATGAAACTGGACCACTTTCTTCCACCATACACAAAAATAGACTCAAAATGGATTAAAGACCTAAATGTGAGCCCAGAAACGATAGACCTCCTAGAAAAGAGCACAATTTCTCTGACATCGACCATAGCAACACTTTTCTAGATATGTCTCCTGAGGCCAGAAAAATAAAAGCAAAAACATATATATATTGGGACTACATCAAAGTAAAAAGCTTCTGGGGACGCCTGGGTGGCTCAGTGGTTGAGCATCTGCCTTCAGCTCAGGGTGTGATCCCAGGATCCTGGGTTCGAGTCCCACATCGGGCTCCCTGCATGGAGCCTGCTTTTCCCTCTGCCTGTGTTTCTGCCTCTCTCTGTGTCTCTCATGAATAAATAAATAAAATCTTAAAAAAATAAAATAAAAAAGCTTCTGCACAGCAAAGGAAATAATCAACAAAACTAAAAGACAACCTATGGGATGGAAGAAGATGTTTGTAAATGTGACATACCCAATTAAGGGTTAGTATACAAAATATATAAAGAACTTATACATCTCAAACACCCAAAGAACAAATAATCCAATCAAGAAATGGGCAGAGGACACCAACAGACATTTCTCCAAAGAAGATACACACACACACACACACACACACACACACACACACACACAGCCGGCCAACAGACAGGTGAAAAGATGCTCAACGTCACTGATCCTCTGGGATATGCAGATCAAAACCACAATGAGATACCACCTCACACCTGTCAGATTGGCTAAAATCAACAACACAAGAAAACAGCAGGTGTTGGAGAGGATGCGGAGAAAGGGAACCCTCTTAACACCGTTGGTGGGAATGGGAACTGGTGCAGCCGCTCTGGAAAACTGGAGGTTCCTCAAGAAGTTAAAAATAGAGCTGCCCTATGACCCAGCAGTTGCACTGCTGGGGATTTACCCAAAGAATACAAAAACACTAATTCAAAGGGATACAAGCACCCCAATATTTATAGAAGCATTATCTGTAACTGCCAAATTATGGAAACTGCCCCAAAAAACTTCCTTATTGTAACAAGTAAAACATTACCAAAGCGAACAAAGATAAAATCCTATCTTCCCTTTTCGCTACTTTAGCCTTTCTCCCTGAGTTAATAAATGAATGTATCTTACTGCTTTTTTTTTTTTAAATCATACAAATATATACCAAAAGACGGGCTGCCTGGGTGGCTCCGTTGGTTAAGTGACCAACTCTTGATCGCAGCTCAGGTCTTGATCTCAGGGTCCTGTGTTCAGCCTCGTGTTGATGGGGCTCTGTGCTGGGTGTGGAGACTACTTAAAATACACACAGATTAGCACATATGTAAGGATTTCTCCCATTTCTTCCACACACCCCCAGGTGGATAATACTGTATTTATTACTCTGCAGTGGGGTTTCCCAAACCTGAGCATGTGACAGATTTTCTGGCAGGCTTGTTCAACTAGATTGTTTGATGGATGCTCCCAGAGATTTTGATTCTGCTGGTTGGGGTGGGATCTGAGAATTTGCATTTTTGACGAGTCCCCTGTGATGCCGATTGTGCTGGTGTGTGCACCACACCTTGAACTACTACTCGACAACTTTTTTTTTTAATCTCAACATACAGACATCCATCCAAATTAATACAGGGAAACTTAGTCAATTCTTTCATAGCTGAAAAACACTCTGCTATAGGAGTAGATGTATCTTAATTTATGAAGCATCCTGCTGTGGATGAACACGCATCCTTGGGCACTTTGCAGTTTTTTGCAAATACAGAGAATATTGCAGTAAATATTTGTAGCCATAGAACCCTCTGTCCTGATGGTTTTACTTCTGATGGGTCGAGTCCTTAGGACAGGGTCAAGCTGCTTCCAAATTATTTTTCCACATCTGTTCCCAGACCAGTCAGCAATATATGACAAAGTCCATTTGCCTCTATTTTGACACCGATCTCAAATTTTTGTCAAACTAATTGGATAGCTATTTTTGTTCTCTTAAAACCGAAACTAGAGGTAAAGCTTTTTAAACCCTGATTTTAATTACCTTTGACGCACTAAATTAACTGTTTTTACTCTTTTCAATAAAAGAGAAGTGGGAAAGAAATTGTGTAACATGAACTGTTTGATGGGTTTGGGGGTAGCTTTTCTTTTTTTAAAGATTTTATTTATTTATTCTTGAGAAACAGAGAGAGAGAGGCAGAGACACAGGCAGAGGGAGAAGCAAGCTCCATGCAGGGAACCCGACATGGGACTCGATCCCAGGTCTCTAGGATCATGCCCTGGGCTGAAGGTGGCGCTAAACCGCTGAGCCACTGGGGCTGCCCATGGGTAGCTTTTCTTATTTATGATTTGTTTACAAAATTTCTGCAAATTTTTCTCCAAATTTTGTTTATAACGTTTGTAAAATGGTTTTAAGAAGAAGTTGTTTTAAAATTCATTTATAGGGCAGCCTGGTGGCTCAGCGGTTTAGCGCTGCCTTCAGCCCAGGGCGTGATCCTGGAGAACCAGGATTGAGTCCCGCGTCGGGCTCCCTGCATGGAGCCTGCTTCTCCCTCTGCCTGTGTCTCTGCCTCTCTCTCTCTCTCTCTCTGAGTCTCTCATGAATAAATAAATAAAATCTTTTTAAAATAAAATAAAATTCATTTATAAAAATAGGATAGCAAAAGTCATAGATCGGAGTATGTGCTGGGATGGTGATAATCATTTCTTAATTCCAATTATTGAATTTTAATCCGACTGCTTTCCTTTCCACAGGTTGTATTTGTCATTTTAGCATTTTTAACAGGTATACTTTGTTCTTACCCTAATCCAATTGAGGACAAGTGCCCAGGAAACTATACCAACCCACTGAAAGTTCAGACAGTCATAATCCTTGGGAAGGTTATCTTGTGGATCCTGCATTTCCTTCTTGAGCGCTACATCCAGTATCACCACAACAAAGTGAGAAACCGGGGCTACACCATGATCTACCTGTCGACCAGGCACCTGAAAGGACTCGCGCTGCTGATCCACTCCACCGGTGAGTCTGGCTCAGCTTGTCTGTCTGTGGCTTGCTTGCGCGGCAGAAATTCCAGCAGAAAGCAAACGTGACGGTTGACTTTATAATCAAATATACGCTCTCAGTTTTGTGAGAATGATGTGTGTTGTGGCCACTAAAATTCAGATCACCTTAATGTCTTGAAGCTTTTTTAATACATATATTTAGTCTTAATTTTCCTTTGACATCTGTGCTTGTGATCACAGGGGAGGGGAGGGAAAAGAATGTCCCTCTATCCTTCTAGGTAGATTTTTGGCTGATAATAAAAGACACCGTAATAAAAGACAGTATCACAAGAGGAAAACGACCAGGAGTTTACTAGCCTGCGCACCTCCTGTGTGCGTGGGAGAGAACCAAGAAGACTGAGCAACTCTCCAAAATGGGCCAAGTCACCACCTTAAACACCACCTCCAGTTAAAGAGTGGAGACGGTGGCGGGTGGGGAGGTTGGAGGAGTTTTGCGAGGTTGTCAGGAAAAGCACTGTCCACAAGGGTAAGATTGTTGTGCAGATTTACTGCATTCTCAGTCGGTAATAGTTTCTAGAAATTGAAAGTCCTCCTCTCCCCAGTACAGAGAGGGGGACATCCTTACAAAATGTAGTTTCCCCCCCATCAATGTCTCTTACAAAAGAGATCTTTTAACTTCTACTCAGCTTTCAGAGCTTCACCTGCTTAAAATAATCAGCTTAAAGTAATCCTTTTGCAGAAAAAGCATATTTTAGGGTAGCATTATCTGCCACTTGCCTCCCATCATTATGAACACGGGGTCCGTGTGATGTAGGAAAGACATTAGGGTTCAAAGCTGATGGCTGAGAAAGAATTCTTGAGACATCTTTGGTGCAAAAAGGTGGTTTTATTAAAGCAGCAGGGGATAGGACCCATGGGCATTATGTATGTTCAGGTTGGAGGGGTTAGGGAGAGCGGAAGTCTCTGAGGAATCTTGGAAGCGAGGTTTCTAGAATCCTGAGGGGGCTGGCTATTGTTAGGAAAGGTCATTTATTGGACGCCTGGCTGGCTCAGCGGTTGAGCCTCTGCCTTCAGCTCAGGGCATGACCCCGGGGTCCCGGGATCGAGTCCCGCATCCGGCTCCCTGCATGGAGCCTGCTTCTCCCCCTGCCTGTGTCTATGCCTCTCTCTCTGGGTCTCTCATGAATAAATAAGTAAAATTTAAAAAAAAAGAAGAAGAAGAAGAAGAAGAAGAAGAAGAAGAAGAAGAAGAAGAAGAAGGAGGAGGAGGAGGAGGAGGAGGAGGAGGAGGAGGAGGAGGAGGAGGAGGAGGAGGAGGAGGAGGAGGAGGAGGAGGAGGAGGAGGAGGAAGAAGAAGAAGGAAGAAGAAGGAGGAAGAAGAAGAAGGAAGAAGAAGAAGGAAGAAGAAGAAGGAAGAAGAAGGAAGAAGAAGAAGAAGAAGAAGAAGAAGAAGAAGAAAGGTCATTTATTGCTGTTTAGTAAAAACTCGGTCATGAGACCCTCAGATGCATATCGGCAGGCCACGTGCTTGGGGGACGGTTGCCAGCATCTGTCTTAGAGGCCAGAGCCTAAGGGAGTCTCCTAAGGAACCTTCCTGTTCAAGTGGCTTACAGGCCCCTGGGCGTCGGGCTAAGACTACCCGTCGCCGCCAGCAAAGTATTAACATCGAGGCAGCTGCTGCGTCCCTAGAGGGAGGTCACTCTGCCTGCGTCAAGGACTTGTCAATGGGCTGTAAGTAGTAAGGAAATTTAATCATTTTTCTTCCGTTTTGATCCCCACATCACGCGTATCTCCCTGTGTCTAACGCAGACTCCCGTGCCCTTTCCACGGGAGCAGCCTGCTTCATCTCGAGAAGCTGCAGAGCTGCTGCTCTTTGGTACTTGTAGGGTAAGAGGACGGCATTGCTTCACTTTCATGAGGTGCAGTATTTTTCTTGCAGTGACAGAGCCTGTTAGAAAATAAGGTGCATTATGCAAAATGGAAAACGTGAAAAACTTTATGAAGGCGAGATCAGAAAGTCCATACGGGACTTAGCTGCATTCGTGCCTCTTTTGTTCATCGTTGCAAACGTTACCTTAATTTTTACTTTTGAAGATTTTATTTATTCATTTGAGAGATAGTGAGTGAGAAAGAGCTCGAGCAGGGGCACCGGGAGGGGAGAACCAGAGTTCCCTGCTGAGCAGGGGGCCGCACGCAGGGCTGTGACCCAGGACCCCGGGATCCTGAGCTGAGCCCGCGGCAGGCAGACACGTAACTGACCGAGCCCCCCGAGGTGTCCCTGTTGTCACAGACATTTTACAGGCTGGATGGAATTACATTGAGCTTCTTTGGGTATTTTTGCTGTGGTGCTAGACATCTCTACCTTTTTAAAAGACCCTCTTTTTTGGTTTGAGTCCAGAATAAACACTTAGACGTTTTGAAACCAGATTGGAAATCAAAAGTAATCCCCCTTCTTCACCCCCCCCCCCCGAAAAACGGCTCTACGGAATTTAATGTTTATTTTTCCTCTGTGCGCTGTTAATACATCGGCTTGGGGCAGGCCGCTCGAGGCCCGGGCGCTGTCAGTGGGGACCGCGGGGTCGGCTGCAGCAGAGGAGGGAGCATCTTGGGGCCTGGTTCCCCTTCCCCGCCCCGGGGGAGCTCGACTAGGAGGCGGCCAGCAGGTGCCGCTGGAACCTTTCCTCCCACAAAGGGCACAGCCGAAACGCCTTTTTACCTTAAAGGCCTCAATGCCTCCTTGTGAGCGGGGAAGCTGGGTGTCAGGCCGCCCTGGAGCTGGGATCCCAGAGGCCCGAGGTCTAGCTCCCGGGACCCCTTGTGTCACCGAGCAACTGGACCCTGACTTCAGCCCCAGATGGTGTCACGTTCATGTCGCTCAGACCAGGACCCGGGGAATCAGGGACCTGGGGCCACGTGCCCTGAGCTTCCACTCGCCTGGGGTCTGGGCCTCGCATCTGAGAGTCGCGGGGCCTGGCGCCCGGCACCCTTGTGGCTGCGGCGGGCGGTGTCCCGGGGTGACCAGCCCTGTCCTGATGCCCACCCGCTGTGGGGGGGGTCACGCTGTGTCCACACCCGTGGTGGCCGCCAGCCGTGGTGGTTCTGTTGTGGGGCTGTCGTGGACGCCCCCTCCTCCAGGCGGCCCCCTGGGCCCTTGCAGCCATGGCCCGGTTCCAGGCAGCCCCCCAGGCTCTCGCAGCTGTGACCCAGTTCACTGTCGGCCCTTCGTGGATGCCGCCTCCTCCAGGCAGTCCCCCGGGCCCTTGCAGCTGCAGCCCCGCCAGCCGCCCCGCTCGGGCCCTTCCTTTCCTCCTGCGCCGCTGCCAAGTCCGAGGAAGGAGGCCAGGGGTCCTCGGAAGCCGCGGGGCTCTCGGGGGCGGGCCGGGGCCGGGAGCCCGGTGTCGCCCGGTGACGACGCCCTGTGGACCCGAGGTTAGGCGCAGGCGGGCCCAGGGTGTGGGGGTGCGGCGGGGGGGGGGCGGGAGGACCGGGGTTCCCAGGGACACCGCACCCGACACTGCCCATGCGCCGGGGCCGCGGTCCTCAGCGCCAGCGCCCGCCGCGCCCTGCCCGCCAGGCCGTCGTCAATTATTTCATAAAACAGAAAATAGTAACAATAATAATTTAAGAAAATCCGGCATCTTATGTGATTGTCTCGTGGGGCATCCTCAGCTGCGGGCCGTGTGGGCTTCGTCCTCAAGGAGCGGCCTTGGCCGATTGCGCTGGGGGGGCTCGGCACGTGGGGGGGGGCGTGCACCTGCCGCGGGCTCACGTGGGGGGCGTGCACCTGCCGCGGGCTCACGTGGGGGGGCGTGCACCTGCCGCGGGCTCACGTGGGGGGGCGTGCACCTGCCGCGGGCTCACGTGGGGGGGCGTGCACCTGCCGCGGGCTCACGTGGGGGGGGCGTGCACCTGCCGCGGGCTCACGTGGGGGGGCGTGCACCTGCCGCGGGCTCACGTGGGGGGGGCGTGCACCTGCCGCGGGCTCACGTGGGGGGGCGTGCACCTGCCGCGGGCTCACGTGGGGGGGCGTGCACCTGCCGCGGGCTCACGTGGGGGGGGCGTGCACCTGCCGCGGGCTCACGTGGGGGGCGTGCACCTGCCGCGGGCTCACGTGGGGGGCGTGCACCTGCGGCCGCCGCTGACCGGGCGCTCTCTCCGCTCTGCGTCCGCAGGCAGCACGGCTCTCCTCCTGGTGCTGAGCGTGCAGCACTCCTTCCCTGCGCCCGCCCGGCTGTATCTTTACCTCGTCCTGGCCATCCTGGCCCTGGAACTGCTCTGTTCCCTGACCTGTCTGCTCATCTACACAGGTGAGAATCACAAAATACCAGTGAGTAGTTTCTGAATTTGTGTCAATAAATTTTTGTCAAGTGACGCCTTGTATCCGAAAAGTAAACACAACAAAAATAAAAAGATCCACAAACGTTTGGTTTATCAAAGGCAACTGAGATGTAAGCCTGGCACTTAAATTTGAAATGACGAAATACAGATTAAGTAAATAAAGAATGCATGCAGGGATCCCTGGGTGGCGCAGTGGTTTGGCGCCTGCCTTTGGCCCAGGGCGCGATCCTGGAGACCCGGGATCGAATCCCACATCGGGCTCCCGGTGCATGGAGCCTGCTTCTCCCTCTGCCTGTGTCTCTGCCTCTCTCTCTCTGTGACTATCATAAATAAATAAAAATTTAAAAAAAATTAAAAAAAAAAAAGAATGCATGCAAACTGCATTTAGCCCAGACTTGCTCTAAGACAAACCATTTAGGAACTTATTTTCTAAATTTAGGGCTGTCTGAGGGCCAGTCTGTTTGTCTCTCTCTGTCTCTGTCTCAACTCTCAGCGATAAAATTTTTTTTTAAGATTTTTTTTTTTTTAATTCACTAGAGACACAGCGGGCGCTGGAGGGGCAGAGACCCAGGCAGAAGGAGAAGCAGACTCCGTACAGGGAGCCTGACGTGGGACTCAATCCCGGGTTTCCAGGATCACTCCCTGGGCTGAAGGCAGTGCTAAACCGCTGAGCCATCTGGGCTGCCCCATAAAAAATTTTTTTAAGGTTTATTTATTTATTTGAGAGAGAATGGGAGGGGCAGAGGGAGAAGCAGACCCCCTGCTGAGCCCAGAGCCTGGTGTGGGCCTATCCCAGGGCCCTGGGGTCATCACCTGAGCCACCCAGGCACCCCAGTGGTAAGATTCTAGTAAGCTTTACCGGGGCGCCTGAGTGGCTCAGTTGGTTAAGTGGCCAGCTTTTCATTTCAGCTCAGGTTCTGATCTCAGGGTCCTGGATGAGCCCCTGTCAGGGGGTCCACGCTCAGCTCAGCAGGGAGTGGGCTTGAAGATTCTTTCTTCCTCTTCCTCTGCCCTTCCCCCTGCACACACTCTCTAAGATAAATAATCTTTAAAAAAAAATAAAGTAAGCTTTAGATATGTAAACATGAAAAATAGATGGAGGGATACTTTTGACAGAAAAGAATTCAAGCCCTGGAAAAATCTAGATTTCATTCCTGCTGCAATATTGGCATATAGTCAATCTGTCCAAAATACTACCTAATTTTTTGCCGCTGCATAACAGTTATTTTGTGACAATAAAATATCTCCTCTATGCATTTTGAAAGAGAGTCATTTCTCTAGTTATGAAAGACAAAGTCCTGTGGATCTCAACTCATGTTTCATTTTACTGATTTTTTTTTTTGTTTTGTGCATCTCCTTAGGCCTATAGAAGAGCATTTAGTTTTGTTTTGTTTTGTTTTTTTAATTTATTTATGATAGTCACACAGAGAGAGAGAGAGAGAGAGAGAGACAGACAGACAGAGACACAGACACAGGCAGAGGGAGAAGCAGCCCCCATGCACCGGGAGCCTGACGACGTGGGATTCAATCCCGGGTCTCCAGGATCGCACCCTGGGCCAAAGGCAGGCGCTAAACCCCTGCGCTACTCAGGGATCCCTAGAAGAGCATTTAGAATATGAATGGGGTAACTAGTTTATAAATGTGAATGTCACATTATTGATTGACCTTTATAAACTTTTCTGTAGTTATTAGCTAACAATGAGCCAAATTATGGAGAAGATTGCATTCTGTACCTCACTTAAAAAAAAATGTATATCACCCACTAAACTTCCTAGAAAAGAATGAAACTTTGGGTTTTTTTTTTTTTTAAGATTTATTTATTTTTAAGATTTTATTTATTCATGAGAGACACAGAGACACAGGCAGAGGGAGAAGCAGGCTCCATGCAGGGAGCCCGACGTGGGCCTCGATCCTGGGTCTCCAGGATCACGTCCTGGGCCGAAGGCTGCACTAAACCGCTGAGCCACCTGGGCTGCCGAGACTTTAGTTTTAAAGGTTAATTTTTCTGCATATAAGAAATAGCTTGCTACCATGTGACAAACGAATATTACTTTGTTGATTGAGATCAGTTCCATTCTACAACACTTCTGTCAAATGCTGTAAATGAGGAGATAGTTTAGCTCTGAATATAGCATTCACTTACCATGTTATTTTACGGTAGCTCTACTACTTTTATTTATTTATTTATTTAAGATTTATTTATTTATGATAGACATGGAGAGAGAGAGGCAGAGACACAGGCAGAGGGAGAAGCAGGCTCCATGCCAGGAGCCCGACATGGGACTCGACCCCAGGACTCCAGGCTCGCGCTCTGGGCCAAAGGCAGGCGCTAAACCGCTGAGCCACCCAGGGATCCCCTACTTTTATTTATTAGAAAGGGTGCAAGCCTTCTGGTAGTGAGGTATGTTCTGTAGTATCTATCGAATGCTCTATGACGCAGCAGGACTTAGGAACATTCCAAAGACCGTGTGAGTAAGGGGAAATTGGGGCGCCTGGGTGGCTCAGTCAGTTAAGAATCTGCCTTGGGCTCAGGGCAAGATCCCAGGGTCTGAGATCAAACCCCCATCGTGCTCCCTGCTCAGTGGAGAGCCTGCTTCTCCATCTCTGTTTGCTGCTCCCCCTACTTATGCTTGTTGTCTCTCTCTGTGTGTGTCAAGAAATAAAGTCTTTTAAAAAAATTGCTTTATTCTATACGTGAAGACTTAGTAACATATTTCATTAATATTAAAATTTATATCTGAATAAAAACACCATTAAATCTTAAGTTTAATTAAATCTTACTATGTTTCACTACTATAAGAAAACCTGATAATTGCTAATTCCGACTTTCAAAATACATGGATGGTTTACATAGGAGGGGTTTATAATATAATTTATAAACTTAGGGTTGCCGCAAATATTGAATTTCTTTGGAAGATCGAAGTATGTCTGTTTTACCTCCACATCCTTAAGAGTAGGCTTAACTTTTTAAATTCTATAATATTCCTTTAAATGTATTGCAGGTTTTGACAGGAGAGATTTAGGGAGACAAATGTTGCTTTTGTTCAGTGTCGTAGAAAATATAAGCTTGGGCCCCGATGTATGGACTTTTGTTTCTCCATACTGAAATGATTTGAAAAGATAATGAGTTTTGATAACATTGAAAGTGATTCTTTAAGACATGATTCTTTGATATACTAATTATAACCTGACCTTGACTAGCGTATTTGCATTTTAAGTAGTTAACCTCTAGAAAACAAGATGGACCCTTCTCGTTGGGCACTAATTTGCTTTACTACCTCTACAGGGGAAAACTAGGAAAATAAAACTTGAAACAGTTTTGACTTACTAAATTCGATTAGCTCTGTTCATTTAAAAGTAAGCCAAAGGGATGCCTGGGTGGCTCAGTCAGTTGGGTGTCTGCCGACGGCTAGGCCATGATCCCAGGGCCCTGGGTCTAGCCCACGGGCTCGCTGCTCATGGGGGGGAGCACTTTTCCCTCTGCGCCTCCTCCAACTCGCTCTCCCTCTCCTCACCCTCTGAATGGATAAGTAAAATCTCTAAAAAAAAAAAAGGGTAAATAAAAGATGATTCAATTAATGCCACCCAGTTATCAGCCTTCCAGCAGCCAGTACAACTGCTCTGAAGCTGTGAGAGATTCGGGCTAGAATGGAAGCGGTGACCAAGCGCACCTGCCCTTTTCCGTGTTTTGACGTCCTAGCATGCCTGCTTTCCTTGGCTTACGATGGAAAGAGTGGTTTGAATTGATGTTGCCTGACTTTTGATCGAGAAAACGCTGAATGTGTTCAATCCAATCTATTTTAAAGGCCACAGAGACCTTTTTATTTTGTCAGACTGTGATGCGTCTCTGATCTCTGTCCCCTGGCTTGCACCTGAATACCGTAGAGCTGTTATTTCCTGTCCCCGACTTCAAGAAGCTTACGCGTGTTCCAGGCTTCTTCTTTTGTTCAGGAATTCTGATGCGAAGGAGGCCATTTGAGAGAGCCAGCTAGGATGTGAACAGGAAAACTCCCATTCACCGGCGGCCGTCACGAGTCGGTCGATTCTCGGCCTTCATCTTCCCCAGATGGCATCTGACACGACTGACCTCCTGGAAACGTACCCCTCTTGCTCTGGGCCTTGGGCTTTCCCAGTTTCCTGCCTGCCCCCCGGGGCCCCATAGCCGCCTTCGCTCCGTGCCCTCCCTGACCCGCTGGAGGGAGCCCCAGGCCTCTGTCCATCTCCCCTAACCCCGGAGCCGTAGCACCTCAAGTGTTGTGTCTGGGCCACAGGAGGCCACGAGGAGCTCCTCGTCTCCAGCGTCCCTGCCGTACCCGGAAGGCAAGGGCATCTCGGCAGGGTGCACACCAGGTCTCTTGGCATCATACGGCATCGTACGGCCTGCTTCTTCCCGGTCCTTCCTAACAGACCCTCCGCAAATCTCCCAAATTTCTCACTTTTAACCTCTTCTTAAACTTCTTGAGCCTAGGAGTCAGCTGAGCGTGCACATTAGAATCATAGGTAAGCCTGGCCGTGCCACACAAGGTGCGTATCACGTGACTCAGCCATTGCACTCCTGCGTATAAACCCAAGACAACCGGAAACGTCCGCATCTCCACAAAACCGTACAGTTGTTCAAAGAAGTGTCCATAATGGCCCAAAGTGGAAACAGTCTAGTGTTAGGATATATTAGGGCTAGATCAGCACAATGTGCTGGGTCCATACGGTACAATGTTACCCGGTCCTCGAAAGGAGCAGGTACCCAGAGTGACGTGCTGCTGTGTGCCCAACACGCATGGCCCTTGGAGACGGGCACTGCGGGCGAGCAGCCCTCACGAGGACTGTGTGGTGCGAGGCCTTGGATATGGAACACCCAGAACGGGCAGCGTGGGGACAGGAAGTAAGACGGGGGTTGCCTGGAGCCGGGACGCAGGGGACAGATGGGGAAGGACGGCTAGTGGGTGCCGGCTCGCTTCCTGGAGCGAAGAAGATGCTCTGAAAGTGGCTGGAGGTGGTTGCACAACCCGATCCTACGCTGAACCACGGCACTCGCGCTTTACGTGGACGAATGCGGGACACGTATCACCCGGAAAGCTGGTGTGCAAAAGGGAAGAATGGCATGTGGAGCTTTGAACACCTGTGCAGCGGGGATCGGCCCGGCCCCCTGGCCCCCGCGTGGCACATGCTCGCTCACTCGTGCCGCACGGACAGTGGCCACGGTGGCGCTGGGCTGGCAGCCGCTGCTGCAGCCCTGGCCTCCTGTCCCCGTGGAGCCTCCTCTCCAGAGACAGATCGTCCCAGCAGGTGCCAGAGTCCTCACCCAGGCGGGGCAGGGCCCGGGCTGTGGACGGCTATCCCGACGCGCGGTCTGTGGGCGCACCTGCCGGTTGGGCGCCCCGGGGTCCCGGAGGCCGCACGTCCAGGGTCCCGAGGCCTCTCCTCCAGAGCTGTATCCCTCTGGCTGTATCCTCCCGGGACCTTCGCCTGTGCAAGCGCATCCTGGCCTCTCCCATCACATCAGGGCCCCACCCTTGTCGCTTCTTGTGACACTAGTTACCTCACTAAAGGCCCTGGTCCCAGACAGTCACACTGGGGGCGAGGGCTGGCACGTGTCACTTTGGGGGAGCGCGGTTCGGTCCATTGCATCATGTATCCCTACAAACCGCCCAGCTGGTCGGTGGCCTCTGAATGGCCGCACTGCGGTCCTCTGTGGGTCGTCAGCTTCCCGGCGCAGGGCCCTAACGGTGCTTTCCTGAGAAAAAGCGTCGTTAGGGCCCCACCACTGTGGAGACTGATTTTCATTCCCTTTAATTTATTTATTTTTTAAGATTTTTTTATTCATGATAGACATAGAGGCAGAGAAATAGGAGGAGGGAGAAGCAGGCTCCATGTCAGGAGCCCGACGTGGGACTCGATCCCGGGACTCCAGGATCACGCCCTGGGCCAAAGGCAGGCACTAAACCGCTGAGCCACCCAGGGATCCCCCTTCATTCCCTTTTAGCAGATGGTTCCCCACCTCTTTATTACCGGTGGGTTCCTGCGTCCCCTCGTCCTTTCTCATTTTGCTACTAAAAATGACCATCTGCGCCCTCGTGGGCAGCCCCCAGGTGAGCAGAGCCACCCTAAGCTTTATGTTCACCTGCTAAGTGATACTTTCCAAGTGTTCCAGGCCACCAGCAAGACAGAAGTGACTGGAACACCTTTCTCTTCTTGCAAAGGTTCCACCATCCTGTCCGTCCTCCCCATCTCAGCTAGCCGTGCCAGCCCCACCTCTTGCTAACTCAGAGACCTTTTTGTCGTCCCGGGCTCTTCCTTCCACCCTACATCTCCCATCAGTTGGCCTGCCTCCCCATCCATCTCCTCTCCTCTGTCCCTTCCACGGCCACGCTCATCACATCCTGCGGGGATGAGTCCAGTAGGCACACTACTCGCCTCCCTTTGTCTTCTTAATCCATATTCCTTCTCTTTTTTTTTTTTAATCTTTATTTATTTATGATAGTCACACAGAATGAGAGAGAGAGGCAGACACATAGGCAGAGGGAGAAGCAGGCTCCATGCACCGGGAGCCTGACGTGGGAGTCGATCCCGGGTCTCCAGGATCGCGCCCTGGGCCAAAGGCAGGCGCTAAACTGCTGCGCCACCCAGGGATCCCCATATTCCTTCTCTTGCCAGTGTAATTGGATTCAGAGGTAACTCTGATCGTGAACAACTTACCCGTTCAGAGTTTTCTAAACGTCTAGGGAGGAAAATTCTGAAATAAAAGGCTCTCCATGAGCTGGCCCTACTCATCCCTGCCCTTGGTGGTGAGGGATGGTGAGCTCCTTTCAGTGACTCCCATTTACTCTCCGGACAAAATCTCAGTGCTTCGGCGTGGCACCAGTCCCTCAGGTCTTCCCTGCCTACCTTTCTACCCTACACACACACACACCTTCTTGGGGTCCTAAGTATTTGCTCAGGCTCTTCTCACACTAAAAAACATCCTTCCTCTCTACCTCCCTAGTCTGTGCGGTTAGTTCTCACGTTTCCCTCAAGGCTGGACTCAGGCCCTACCATCCTCCTCCTCCATGACCTGCCCTCCCTTCCCACTCCTGCTGAGTTAAGGGGCTGCTTTCCAAGATGTCACAGCTCCTTGTGCAAGCTTTGATTTTGGTTCTTTTCATACTGTCTTGAATTGTAGACGTATCATCTGTATTTTATCCTGGACTAGTCGCTCTTTTTATAGGGTAGTGTCAACATTGGAGGCTTCAAAGTCCTGATTCCTGGATTAGAATCTTGGCTACTGGGATGCCTGGGTGGCTCAGCAGCTGCATCTGCCTTCGGCTCAGGGCATGACCCTGGGGTCCGGGGTTGAGTTCCATATTGGGCTCCTTGCAGGGAGCCTGTTTCTCCCTCTGCCTGTGTTCTCTCATGGATGAGTAAATAAAATCTTACAAAGAAAGAAAAAGAGAGAGAGAAAAGAGAAAGAAAGAAAGAGAGAAAGAAAGAAAAAGAAAGAGAGAGAAAGAGAAAGAAGAAAGAAAGAAATGTGGCTACTTACTTAACTTTCCTGGGCTTCATTTTATTTTATAAAGCCTGCGCGATAAGGGCATCCACTTCAGGGGGTAGTTCTGAGAACTGAATGAGGCAATCCATGCACAATAGTTCACCTGTGCCTTCTGTGTTTTAAATTCACCAAAAAAAAATCATAGCTGTTATTATTAACAATAATGATACTGTCCGTATTCCTAGTGTTTAGTACAGGCCTGGCACATGGACTTTCAGAGGTTTGAGCACATCCATAAACAAACCTGTGTATTCACCCTATGAAGCATTTTTGTCCATATTAACTTACTTGAAAAGCATGGCCAATTAACATAATTTGAATAAACGGAAGCAAAAAATGTTTTTCGTGATTAGATAACCTGACAATGATGACTTTATTATTTTAGTGAAAATTCGAAAATTTAATAAAGCCAAACCACAGCCGGATGTACTTGAAGAGGAAAAAATCTATGCTTACCCCAGCAATATCACCTCGGAGACTGGATTCAGGTAAGCTTTGAGTAGGGAATGAGAGACTAGAAAAAAAGAATTGTAGGGCTCCCCACCCCGCCCCCGGAAATCTAGAAAACATTCCACTGCTAGTTTATAGTTGTGCAGATGTGCCTTTTGAATTCAGTTTGACCTGCTTACTCCCATTCAGCTGTGATAAAACAAAGTCTAACGAAAGGACCTCATTTTGGAGTATTTCCCTTGGCTTACAACGTCAAGGAGAAGGTTCCAAATACAGTGCGTTGCTCTGCAAGCTGGGAGGGACCCCTTTGCGGAGACTACTGAGCACTGGTTAGCAGGTGCCACCCGTCACCCTGTTGATTCTGTGCAGGACCGTCTCAAGCCTGGAAGACATCGTCGAAAAGCAGGGAGACGTCATCGCGCACCTGAAGCGACACAACGCCCTGCTGAGTAAGCGGTTGCTGACGTTCACTTCCTCCGGGGACTCTCCGCCCAGTAGAGCGTGAGGGCCTGGCCAGGCCAGTGGCTGCAGAGGGAGAGGGGCCCACTGATCACCTGACAAGCCGGCCCAGCAGGTGGCAGTTTGGGCCCGATGCCACTGGATGCCACTGACGGTTCTTATTTGAAACCTGAATTGTGTTCTCCCTGTGGGGATGTTGAGCAGGTGGGACTCGTGGGTCACCTGAAAGGTGCTTCACAGAGCCTGGATGCTCCGATGCCCAGGGAGGACGTCTCTTTTTGCACATTTTGAAGTCCTTAACCGTCTGGCTCATCCGAGGATCAGAGGTATGATTAAGCCTGGTCTCGCGCAGCCCTGCTTCCGCAGGCCGTAGAACCCTGGAATGACTTGGCTGCTTATATGGAGATTGACAGGATCATCTGTTTTAAACAAGGGTTTGATCAAATAAGTTCTTTCCGCTCTTAAACTGATGGGAGGAGTCATTATTTTTTGTGGTTAATTAATGTTTTCTTTGCCCTGCGGAGCCTCACCGTGTACCCGACCTGCTTGTGTGCTGTGGATTACAGCTTGGCCCTGTAGCTTTTATGAAGAATTTCCTCCCCGTAGGACCCGTCTCACTAGGTGATTTACTATGCAAACTCCTACACCTTTTCATTCTCCACAAATAAGAGAATCAAGATCGCTCAGACCAGGGTCAGACTGACCGATGCTGCTCGTTGTATCAGCAGCACCTTCCCCTGGCAACAGAAATACCCGAGAGAAAACCTGAGAACTTTCCCTTTATTTTAATCCTTCTTCAAGGAGTTGCCATGTGCTTCAGTATTGACTATCCCTTGATTAGATCAAGAAAGGTAGGTTCAGTGGCTCTAAGCGGGTCTAAAGAGGAAAAATTATACTTCCTTAAGTTTCATTTATTTAAGTAATCTCTATGCCCAATGTGGGGCTCGAACTTGACCCAGGGATCAAGAGTCACGTGCCCTTCCAGCCGAGCCAGCCAGCCCTCCCTTGGATTATAGTTTCAAATTATGAAAATAAATTGTCATATAAACTTACATAGAGATATTAATTATATCTAATCCTCCAGGTGGAATGAAGCATTTTTGTAAGTAAAGGGCATCATTTCCTCAGTTTTCCCAGTCTGCCCCTTTATCCATTTGCATTAGCACCTCTATTACTGCCCTAGGAAGCTTCATAGGAGGGGAGGGGACATTTGTGATTATGTATGTGGGTCATTAACTGAATAATCAAGATCTCATCTGAAAACCCTGTGTAGAAATACACAGGTATTTCTCAGGGGATGCAGTCATTCGGTCACATCCGGGTCCTTAGGAGGGTGAACACCAGTTACCTTCAGATCTAGCCATTGCTGGGACCTTCTACAAGTTGTCTTCTAAGGTAAAAGTGATGGCGTGTCCCCCGCAGACAATCCCCTTGAGGCCCCAAAATGATGACACTTACAAACTAAACGCAAAATTGTATTTTTAAAATTCAGATTGTATTCAAGTTTCCTGACTTATCTTCCCTCCCTTCTTTTTTTTTTTTTTTTTTTTTTTTTTGTCCCCTCACCTTCCTTTTTACTAAGTATTATCTCAAAACCATTGCCTTCTCTGGAAATCTGTCTCTGTGTTGTGGAAGAGGCTATAAACTGCGTCTGCGGCCTCCGCAGGAGCTTCCTGGGCGTCATCTCAAACTGGCCCTTGTACCTGGAGGGCTGGGGCAGACCCGAGAAAGGGCCAGACCCCCCAGGCCTGTAGGCCGCAGGCCTAATACACATGGGAACCTCGAGCCAGGGCCTGTGTGGGGTGGCTGGGGTCGCGCAGATCTCTATAGAGGCCTGCACTGGGTTCCCTCATGGGTGTGGTCCAGAGCCCCCAGGGCACATCGCTCTCCCAACGCCGTGTCCTCAGCTCCCCGGTGACTGGTGACCGTAGGGAGCGGAACACAGCCTCCAAGGACAGGGGAGGGGGAACAGCCTCTGAGGGCCCAGTCCTCCCAAAGTCTTCCGCTATGTTCCTTTTCAAAAGGAAAACACCAGTGGTAGATGATTCTTACTTAGTTTTAAATTCAGTTGAGGGACACTTGGGGGGCTCAGTGGTTGAACATCTGCCTTGGGCTCAGGGCATTACCCTGGGGTCCCGGATCGGGTCCTGCATCGGGCTCCCTGCAGGGAGCCTGCTTCTCCCTCTGCCTGTCTCTCTCCCTCTCTCTGTGTCTCTCATGAATAAATAAAATCTTTAAAAAATACTCAGGATCTATAGTCAATTTCTAAGGTTTATAGGATGAACTTTGGTTTACAGAAAGAGTTTATAAAGTTAGGATACTCAGATTATGATGTATGGTGTCTGTATGACCACAGACTTTTCCAAAGTCAATAATGCACATATCAAACAGTAAGAAAAGTGAAAGTATCAGAACTAGGAAGACCAGGTCATGAGCAAAGCACTTTAAATGTCAAGCGTTCTATTCACCAGGCTCTCAGTGAGCAAGCACAGCAGGTACAAAAACTAAGGAGACCCTGGTGTGGAAGGAGGAAGAGCACTAGGATGGCTAAGCTCCGTGCCGGGTGAAATAACGGCTGGAAGCCCGGGGCCTTAGGCACTCTGGGTCAGGGTGCCCCCCCCAAGGAAGGGGCTGCGGGGGTTCCGGGCAGACTAAGGAGTAAAGAAGGCAGGGACAAAGGCCATGAGCAGCACTGGGTCGTAAAGTTTGAACCCAAAGTGTGAGGGAGGACATGGGGACAGAAGACCATCTGGTCGGGGAGGGGCCCCATGCGGTCTCGCTGAGGGGCCTGCCCTGGAACATGGTCCACCGGCGAGTGCCAAGCAAGGAAGTGACAGGGTCAGTGTTATTTTCAAGAGGATCAGATTATAGTACAATGTGGAGGAAGGCTCGGTGGCAGAAAGATTTGACCCTGAACTAGGAGGTATAGCTACATTTTTTTGAGTATGTATGTGGGGGGGCGCCTGGGGGGCTCAGTCGGCTAAGCGTCTGCCTTCAGCTCAGGTCATGATCCCGCGGTCCTAGGATGGAGCCCTGCAGCCAGCTCCCTGCTCAGTGGGGAGCCTGCTTCTCCCTCTGCCCCTGCCCTATCTCTCTCTCTAATAGATAAATAAAAAATTTTTTTAAAGAGTATATATGTTTATACGTGGAATATATATATTTCTATAATTTGGGGATTTTGTTTCAGATGACAATAGCATTGTGACTTATAAGTTAAAAGCTTACTTTTTAAAAAGAGCAATATTGAAAAACATAAGGAGAAAAATAATTTGAAATCCTGCTACCAAGGACTTGTACCAACAGTGCTTATCATCCCCCTACTCTCACCCTTTGTGGCTGTTTTCAGTCTGTTCAAGTCTAGCCCATCTGATAGATTAAAAAATACATCATTGTTGCACATTGCATTTCCTTAAATATTAATGAAGTTGAGCATTTTCCTCCATATTCCTTGGCCTTTATCTGTCTTTTGTGATGTGTATAGATCAGCTCTTTTTCTTATTATTCTACTGGGATATTTTTTTTTCTTAAATATAATATCCCTTTTGATATAAGGATAGTCCTCAGTATATGTTTCTTGGAAATCTTTCATTGCTTTGAGTTCACAAAATTGAATCTCTAAAAGCCACACCTGATGCATTCTTGTGTGAGAGCCAGCAGTCGTGAGTGAATTTTAATATACCCAGGCTTCTGCTGCAGGCCCTGTTCTTCTTCCAGGGACTCAAACCCAAGCCATAAATGAATCAAGCAACTTCTTTTTCCTCTAAGGCAGCATTCCCCAACCTTGGCACTATGGACATTTCAGGTTGGATTATCTTTGCTGTGAGGAGCTGTCCTGTGAATTTTAGGAAGTTTAGTTGGTATTTCTGGCTCTGGGATGCCCCTGCGCACCCCCAGCTGTTACAGCCAAAAATGTCTCCATACCATGTATTTCATTTCATTGAACACTTAGCATTTCATTGAGAACTGACCATGTGCCAGAATGTATTCTAGGTCCTGGGAGTTCAGGAATCAATAAGATAGAGAAGGTTCCTGTTCTTGTGGAGTCTACATTCTAATGATGGTGTGGGAGGTGGGAGTAGAGGGAAGGAAGATCAAAGTGAACACAGACAAGGAAACCGACCATTGGGTTTGATGAGTTTGATTATTCTTCTGTAAATTAGACCTCATGGAGCATTCTTACATTAATATGACTTACGGAGAAAATTTAACTTCTGTGTACTGCACCATCCAGAAAACCAAATGGCAAATGAAATGAACTTTATGTTCTTTCCCCATCCTTTTTACAAAAAAGACTTACTTTAGGGACTTCACAACTTGATCAGAGATGGTTTGATAGGTCTTACATTTTTAAGGAAACAGACATTAAATAAATGACAATCACAAATCACAAAAATCTCTAAACACGCCCTAGGTTTCCTAAGGAAAATAGCTTCATTTGTAAACCAAGGAAGGCTGTCTCTAATTCTCTCTGCATTTTTAATCCAGTCTCACTTTTCACCCTACTACTACACTGAAACTGTTCTCAAGGTTACCAAGAACACCCTTTTTTGTGGCTTGAGCTAGGAATGGATGCATAGGTCTCCTCTTCCTAAGCCTGTCAGCAGGAGTAGACTCAGCTGAGCACTCTTCCAGGATTCATCTTCTTCATTTTGGCTTTCAAGACACAGCAAACTTGTGCTTGTTTTCCGAACTCATTGGCTTCTTGTTCTGTGTCCTTTGCAGGTTCCTTTTCTTATTGTACACCACAGCTCAATCCCTGGGTCTCTTTCTTCTCCATCAGTACTCACTCTTGGTAATCTTGTGGCTTTAGTACAGTCTACAAGCTGGCAACTCCCAAATGTGTACCTTCTTGAACTCTAGACTCCTATACCTAGCTGCCTCATCTAGAGCTCTAATTAATGTCCAAGACATCTCACAAACATATCCAAAGCTGGGATGTCCTTCACAGCCTTCTGTCTCCACAGTGATGGTTCCTCTACCCCTGACATCCCACAGTCTCTCAAAAAATCCTGCTGGCTTTTCCTTTAAAACAGATCCAGAATCCATCATCTTTATATGGATTTTTGTAATAGTCTCTTAAGTGGTGTTTTAGCTTCTAACCACCACAATCCCCTCCCCCCACACTCCCAAAACATCAGTATTTAATACAGTAGCAAAGAGATTCTTCTAAAACATCCATCAGATCATGTTACTCTAATGGTTCCCTATCTCAGTAAAACCAAAGCCTGACGGTGACTTCCAGGGCTCTAGAAAATCTGCTCCTCCTCCCACCCTTAACTCATCTCTTCCTACTCTTCCTTTATGTACTCTGTTTCAGTTATATTGTGGTTTTTCTATTGTGAAGTCCATCCCCACCTCAAACCCTCGCAGTTACTGTCTACTTGGAATGATTAATTCCCATATACCCTTCATCCTTCAAGTCTTCGTTAGTGTTACTTTTTCAGTGAGGCCTGCTCTGGCCCACTATTTAAAATTACAGCCTTGGGGATCTCTGGGTGGCGCAGCGGTTTAGCGCCTGCCTTTGGCCCAGGGCACGATCCTGGAGACCCGGGATTGAGTCCCACATCGGGCTCCCGGTGCATGGAGCCTGGTTCTCCCTCTGCCTATGTCTCTGCCTCTCTTTCTCTGTGACTATCATAAATAAATAAATAAATAAATAAATAAATAAATAAATAAATAAATAAATATGAATGAATGAATGAATGAATGAATGAAATTACAGCCTTTCCCACACTCAGCACTTTCTAGCCCCTTACCCTTATAGGGGTTTATACTCTTTTACCCCAAAGTATGCCACTTTGGCTTATTGAATATTTTGAAATAAAGATTCTTGAGAAACAAACAGCAAATGCAAGAACACTCTGACCCTTCTCTGTCCCTCTGAAAGGAGATTATAAATCTCCCACGTGAAAGGTGTCCTCCCTATACTAGGAGGTTAGAAGACATCCGTATGACCAGAGATGGGATTTAGGGCTAGAGACTATATAAAGAAACCTTTTTACTTCTTTACCTATTCACTACCCCCAAGCTCAAACCCCTTTGTCTTGTCATTTTTTTATAAATGTATTGTTTCTTTGTCTAAAAGGTTTAAAGGCTTCCTGCTTTGGTCACTTCTTTGAGTCACCCTTTTAATGCGTCTCTTGTATGTATGAAATTAAATTAGTTTTTCTCTTGTCAATATGTCTTAGGTCTATTTTATTATTAGACCAGCCAAGGAATCCAGAAGGGAAGAAGGAAATTTTTTCTTCCCCTGAACCCTGTTTGAGTTGTTTCCCAGTGTACTTACCATCTAAAATATTACATAATTTACTCATTCACTTTGTTTCTCTCTCCTGACTCGAATGTCATCCTATCAATTTCAGATATAGCAAAGATTTAAAAGAAAAGATAAAATA